AACAAACTGGGTCTGAAGTGTCTGAAAGGCAGTAATCACGGAAACCCACGATGCCATTCAGCTAGAGGTCACTTTTCAGAGTTAAAACTTCATTTTCATAGAGAGGTGCCTCATTGTGCCATAAATGGGGAAAATTGTGCAATATCTGCCCCATGAGGTAAAGGTCCTTAATTCTAATTGATGATCAGTTTGTGTCCTGAAGCACGAGGATTGATCTGACAGTCCTTGTAATTTGATGCCCAGTTTTGAACATAAATTGGAGATGGACGAGGGGGACACAATGTACCCTTCTTCGCTCATGAGTTTGGCTTTCTCTGTGCAGTTTCTAACCCCAACTGTGCTACAGGAAACAGGAGAACAAATGATGATACTCTAGCAATTGGCAGGTCCTGTGGAGGTGTGTACCATCCATGTAGGCCTATTACCAGGGTGTAATCTCCCCTGCTCATTTTCCTGTCTGCAAGTTTGGCCAATTGAGTGTGAAAAGTTGCTCTGATCCCTCTCGGGGATGTGTAGCTATAGTGACCAGTGTATCGTGCTGACTGCTTTACAATTCATTCTGTTCCACTGGAAACTCTGAATCAATGGCACTTTTAAAATTTCTGTTTCAGTGATGGCCCAGAAAAGAGCATGACGCCCCAGATGATACAAAAGCATTTTTCCACTGCTGCTCCTTGATATACCATTCGCTGTCAGATAAATGCTATAATAAATCACATTTTCTTTTTGTTACACGTTTGGTGTCATTGTGCAGCACACTCCATGGATCTGGCTTTATTATTTTATTTCAGTGAAAGACTGTGAATATGCTCCAGTCGGCTTATCTGATTGTTTGTTCTGCTCAGCTAAGCAAACCAAGCAAGTGTGCTTTAACTAAATTATTTGCTGCAACTCTGTGCTGGCATCATTCTGGTAGAGGCTCCTCCATCTGTTTTTATTGCCCCCCCCTTCTTATATTTTGTTCTCACCCACTGATCATTAAAAAAATATTTCCAAGCAAAAACAATAAAAAAAGTTGCATAAAACTTTTTATGAGCAAGAATCTGGATGCCAAGCCACACTCAAAGCATGGTGTTTCTTGATTTAAGGACAATATACTATGGCAAGCAGTATCCCTCACCTTGAGGAGCTCTGCACTCAGATTTATTGTATGAAAGATTACCAGTTCTAAACACACATTCATGTAAAATGTCATTTAATTTCCCCTAGTTTTAAAGAACTGGAAATCTGAAGTTACTAAATTTCTGTTTGTAAATAGGAACAATTGAACAGTTCTCTGACTTCACTCATTTAAAACTCCTCAGCTGCAGGGAGACAAGATTCCTGTGGGTAGATTTATTGGAAAGGAAAACTATATGGTGATATGCCTCTCGTACTGGGAAGAAGAGGAGACCAACTCTTAGAAACTCACTAAAGGTATTCAAGGACATTCACTATATTTGGCTTCCCTTGGTCAATGGGCTGCTCTGAAATATTAGAATCTCTGGTTGTTCTTTGTTAAGCCTACGTGGAGATGTTTTCGTAAAGGGATCCCCATCATATCTAAGATAGTGCCTGTGTGTAAAAAAGGAAAACTGAGTATTAGTTTTTTTCCCTGAAAAGTGGAGTTCAGAGTTAAGTACTTTTGACAAGTAAGAAAGAATGCGTCACTTTGATGAGACAGGACATACATCCAATGGGATATGAGTTGGGGAAAAATTGTAGGACATTTTTGGCAACATTTTCTGCAATTTTGTTTGTCCTGGTGCTGCACTTCTACAGCAGAATTTCCATGTTTTTTTTTTCACAGTTGTTTGTAAAAAGCAAAGTGATTAAATGTCAGTTTTTATAGTGAAAAGAATGCCCCGTGGAGGGCACGTGGGCCTTGTTTCAAAGCTGGGCTTCATGACAAAGACCTTTTTTTTTTGTCTGTAAAGTGCCTATGGATGGGAGACAAAAATCCCGCCTGGAGAAGGAAACACCATTGTTTTAAAATATTAAGCTCTCGGCTGCAAGGACTTAGAGAAAGCCAGCTGAGAGGGGAACAGCTTCCAGGAGACACAGATGTGAGGATCTGCCTAGGGAAGAAGAGTGAACCCATCCTACAGTTCTCTGCTGGTCCCCAAATGTTGGATCAGATAGCATAGGACACCTTCTAGGAAACTCATCCACACTGTATAACTTGTGGCTGGAGGTGGTCAGAGGGGGAGGGAACAGAAGATGTTCTGTGTAGTGGGGTGTGGTAGAAATGTAGATTGCCCTCCTGGGTAGACTTACCTTGCTGCAGATTAAGCCCATTAGATTTTGTCCTACCTTCAGCAGACATGGAGAGTAATTGATCCCCGTCCTCTTTATAACAGCCTTTAATATTTTCAAGACCGTTATCAGTACCCCCTCAGTCTTCTTTTTTGAGGACTAAACGTGTCCAGTTTTTTTAACGTGTCCTCATAGGCCAGGTTTTCTAAACCTTTTATAGTTTTTGTTGCTCTCCTCTGGACCTTCTACAGTTTGTCCACATCTTTCCTCATATATGGTGCCCAGACTTGGAAACAATACTCCAGGTGAGGCTCACTAGTACCAAGTAGAACAGGACAATTACCTTGTGTAGTCTTACATATGACACTTCTGTTAATACACCCCAGAATATTAGCCTTTTTCATAACTGCATCACATTGTTGACTCATATTCAATCCATGATCCACTATAAACTCCAGATCCATTTCAGCAGTACTACTGCCTAGCCAGTTATTCCCCATTTTGTAGATATGCATTTGATTTTTCCTTCCTAAGTGAAGTACTTTGCACTTGTCTTTAGTGAATTTCATTTTATTGATTTCAGACCAATTATTCCAATTTGTCAAGATTGTTTTGAATTCTAATCCTGCCTCCAGAGTGGGCTTGACACCCCTCCCAGTTTGCTGTCATTTGCAAATTTTATAAGCATTCTCTCCGCCCTAAACAATGCCGTGAAACACTACGTAGAAAATGTGACAAGCTGTTTATGGCTCATGTTAATATAATTGTAGTGGGTGATAGGACAGCTCCTTATATAATCTAAGTTGAATCAGTAACTTGGGAAAAAATGATTGTCAGGCCAATTTACTCTGTAAGTAATAAATATTGTTTGACACCTACAGTTCACTTTTGTTGGTCAAGTATGTTCATCTGTGTGGAATAGGTTTCCTTCCTTATTGTACAATACTCCTGGGCCCTGTTTCTCCTACCACAGGAGTCAGGTAAGTCCTCTTGAAGTCTGTGGGTATTAGTTGTATTTATAATGGAAGAACAAAGCTCTGGGTATCAACTTTTCAATGGGTTAATTAAACATTAGAGCCTATTTAGGTCACAGTCTCAAATATTTGCCCATTTTCTAAGGAAACATCACCTACACCCGTAAACGTGAGATCCAATATTTAAACTGAGAAGAAGATTGAGAGGTCACTGGATTACGAAATATATAAATGCCTTCTTGGGGAGAAAATAAGGGGTACTAAAGGACTCTTTCATCTAAAAGAGAAAGGCTTTGTCATGATGTCTGGAGCAGGCTGTCAAGAAACAGGGCATGAACCCCAAATGGGTTGTGTGTTCTATACTTAGGTTTTGCCAACCAAATAACAAGTCTGAAATCCTCAGGCAGTATAACAGCCTTAATAGGGAGCCACAGACAGTCTCGTTGGACACTCCGATCTATCTTGCCACCCAGGCAGGCCTCCCTCTGTGATAGATATTCCCTTACACTAAAAAAATCACAATATTCAAGTTATTCCCAGTCCCAAGGGACCAGCCACTTTTACCCCAGGTCAATTGCACCTTAGATCTCTCACAACACTTGTAGCCAATCCAGTAAAAAAAAACTATCTAAAGGTTTATTGACTAAGAAAAAGAAATGAGAGTTATTTATAAGATTAAAGTGGTTAAACATATACAGAAATGAGTTTCAGTGGTAGATTACAAAAGATAGTAGAAACTTCTATAATATACAAACTCTTTGTTACTTTAGGGCTAACCCAAGCTAAACAGTTGAGGATCCTTTGCTTGTGTTTAGAAATCTTTGCCCCACAGAGTTCGAGGAGGATGTGGCTATCTATTTCTCCCTAGCAGGCAATTTTATTCCCTTCCCCAGCATTCATGCTGTGGTGGGTTGAGGGCTTGTGCACATATCCTCTTCATGGGTATGCGAGAAGCAATCAACAAAGTCTTTTGTCCACAATGGCTTGTCTGATGTCTGTAGACCTTCTTTTGTTGGGGCGGAGATAACACCTTTTGTGGTAAACTAGCATTTCATACTTGGTCATGCTTCTCCCTTGGCTATGCAGGATTTACAAACAAAAGGAAATATTTCTTCACACAATGCTTAGTCAACCTTTGGAACTGTTTGCCAGAGGATGTTGTGAACTATAACTATTGTGAACTACAACAGGGTTCAAAAAAGAACTAGATAAGTTCATGGAGGATAGGTCCATCAATGGCTATTAGCCAGGATGGGCAGGGATGGAGTCCCTAGCCTCTGTTTTCCAGAAGCTGGGAATGGGTGACGGGATGGATCACTTGATTACCTGTTCTGTTCATTCCCTCTGAAGTATCTGGTATTGGCCACTGTCAGAAGAGAGGATACTGGGTAGACGGACCATTACTCTGACCCATATGGCTGTTCTTATGTTCTTAGGTACAGTCTTAAGCAACCATTTGTATAGTCACAGAGCAAACATTTAATCATTACCTTATAACATGGGATGCAGATATTATAAGTAGGACTAACACTTGCAGCATCCTATGAGCATTCCATAAAGTCTAAACACTAAAGATATCTTATAACTCTAACATCCTGTTTTAACAATACTAACACACAGGTGAGCCAGATTGGTTTCCAGCTGTGCATTTGTCAGTATTCAATGAGGCCTGAGGCCTTGGCAAAAGCTGGCATCGAGTCTGCCAGTGTCACAGGCATAACAAGAACCAATAGCTGGAAATTAAAGCCAGTCAAATTCAAATTAGAAATAAGGCACATTTTTTTTTAACAGAGAGGGTGATTTACCATTGGAACAAACCAGAAAGGGAAGTAATGGATTCTCCATCTTGTGAGGTCTTGAATTGAAGACTGGATGTCATTCTGAAAGGTATTTTTTAGCCAAAGACAAATTACTGGGCTCAGGGCAGGGGTAACTGGATGAAATTCTATGGTCTATATTATACAGGAGGCAGGAGTGCTGCCAGCTTTTCTGGCGCCCTAGGCGGCGGAAGGTCCCGCTGCCGAACTACCACCACGGTCGCCGCCCCCCAAATTGTAGCACTCTAGGCGACCGCCTAGGTTGCCTAATGGGTTGCGCTGGCCCTGACAGGAGGCCAGACTAGATTACCTAATGGTCCCTTCTGGCCTTAACAAATGTATGAAATATATGCCACCAATTGACCAGTTCACCCAGTAGCACTACTTTGCTTTTTACAACTGTTTAAGAAAATCATTAACAGTCTCCTTTTATTTCTGTGTTAATTACAGCTCCTCCAGATTTACCATGTCTATAGATGATGGTGTCAACTGCGCAGAGATAAAACTGAGTTCTGAGAAAGTAAAATCATTTGATATATGATATCATAATAAATATAGAAGAGAACATAAATATAAAATGGATAAAATTTACTAGGTAAGTATAAGGTTTCAACTTTTATTCTTCCTCATTATATCATTACAATTCTATCCAGCTGTTCATTCTTTTAAAGTTGGTTAAAGTGCTACATGTAAAGATTTATGGACCGGATTCCTTACAAATATGGTACATAATTATCTATGAGCTATATTCAGAATATGGCAAAACTGAATCACTGTCACTCATAACTTGGAACTAAAAGGTCATATTTATGTTTACTTGCGTTTACAGCATCATGAACAGATGATTTGTAAAAACACAGTACAAAAATATTTAGTGAAATTCACAGAGCATTGCGAAACCAAATGTCTCTGATCAGCAATCTCTCTCTCTTGGACACACACATTTGTATATTTTTCCCCTGTGAGCTTTATTTTTTGTCACTTCCTGCATAATTTGGGTGACACACAATTTGGGTGGTCCAAATTATTCCTTCCAGGTAAAGTCAAGTTATTGGAATGTGCCTTTTCTCCCAGTGGCAGTAGATTACTTAGATTGGAAGCTCTTTGGGACAAGGACCATCTTTTTGTCCTGCAATTGTACAGTGTTCAGCACAATGGGGGCCTGGTCCATGACTGGGGCTCTTAGGCACTATTGCATTACAAATTTATTATTAATTATTAGTATTATTTATTTACTTATTTACACCCTTCAGTGCTCACGGATGCTGACATATGCCACAAGGTGCTACTCGGTATATAGAAATATATTGTAAACCTTCATGTTCCACTAATGGGAATCTGTATAGCCCTGTGGACTTGACCCAAATCCCAGTGATGCCCATGGGACTCTTGTTTGACTTCAGTGGGTTTTGGATCAGGCTCTGTAAAAGCAGTGTGGTATAGTCTATGTAATTTTAATTAAGCATTCCAGCAGATTTTAGTACAATACCTCTTTGTATACCTCTTAGGCCTGGCAAACTACTTAGCAGCATAGGAAAATAGTAACAATGGGTGGGTAATTTTTATTTGTAGTAGAATTTTACAAATAAAATTACTCTACCTAAAATATCACAGAAAGCAGAATAGTTAACGAACAGTCACATAATTGTGAAGGAGGTAAAGAATCTTCTGTTATCATCTTGCAATTTAATAAGAATATTCTCTTCAGATTTTTCCTCCAAAAGCTTGCTTCACCATTCTCCCTGTTGAGGTCTCAGTGGCATTCAGGTCCTGAGATCAGTTTGCTATGTTTTAGGGAAATGGAAACATTTCCTTGTTCTTGAGCAAAACAAATTTGTGCTATTAGCAATTATGGTTAATACATTTCAGGCACCAAAATGGAGGGGTTGGGGGTGGGGGGTGGAGGGTGGGAAGGCAAATATTGCCAAATTTGCTGGCTGAGTATAATTTTTCACATATCTTCAGGAGCAGCCAGAAGCAAGAAGCAAAAACTTATTTCAAGCCCTCTATCTTGGAAGGGAGGAACTGTGATTTAAGGGTTATAGCATGGGACTGAGAATCAGGCAATGTGGGCATTTTACCAGCACAGACACTGTCCTGTTCTGTGATGTAAGGCAAGTCTCTTAGGATGAAACTTACCTCTGCGCTGAGAGCAGCATGGGGCTTTGCACCACTTAAATGATTCATAGGCCTTGTACTGGCTGTCTACCCAGGAGTAAATTTCACCCTTAATCTCAATGTCCTTCAGTTTCCCCCTCTATGCTAATACTTACTATCTCACAGGAGTGTTCTGCAGCTTATATAATTAATGGGTGGGCTTCTCAGTGTTGCACATTGGCATCGTTCCACTAAAGTGACTGGAGCTATGCTGATTTCCACCAGCTGAGGATCTGGCCCATTGTTTGTAAAGCATTGTATCGGCCTCAGAGGAAAAGCACCGTTGGCCAGATTTGCAAATAGACCCAGCACACAAGTTCATTTTAAATGGGAGCTCAACTCTTTTGAAAATGTGATCTATGTAAGTACAAGGTATTATTAATAATCATAATCATTATGATTTTTATTATTTTGTTTTATCTGTAAGGACCCACTAGCTCTGAATGATTGCGCCACATGTCTGCATGCAAAAGATGGTGTGATTACTTAATATTTACAACAGCAGAGGAATTCATTCCAAGATTAGAGTGCAAGACATAATGAGCTAAATGACAGAATGATTCTGATATTGAAAAGGTTGGGGAATAGTTTGGGCAATAAGGCTGGGCTCCTGAACATAATTATCAATTGGGTTGATTGTCTCTACTGAGTAATGGTTTATTGGCCAGGTTCTTAAACCCATTCAGCAGGCATCCTAGAAAATACACCTCTACCCCGATAAAATGCGGCCTGATATAACATGAATTCGGATATAACGTGGTAAAGCAGCGCTCCGGGGGAGCGGGGCTGCACACTCCGGCGGATCAAAGCAAGTTCGATATAACGCGGTTTCACCTATAACACGGTAAGATTTTTTGGCTCCCGAGGACAGCGTTATATTGGGGTAGAGGTGTACATCTTTAATCCGGTCTTTTTCTTCTCTTCATCTAAAGACAGCCTGAGGAAAACTCCCAGTTGGTTGTCAGTTTTGGGGCTTTTAGTAAAAAATGTTCTGAGTGAGAAGGCTTTATAGAAGACAGATGGCTCTTATTACAGATCTTTGCATTACAAACAGAGAGTAGCCAGTCACATGACAGGGGGTCTTGCTCTCTCTTTCTCCATCCAGGCAGGTGTTCTGCATACTGAGGTAGGCTGTCAGACACTTTCCACATTCATAAGCATGGAAACGTTAGACAGAACATGCATTTCCCCTTTGGGGTACTTGTGATAAAATCTAACCCAGTATTTCCCTGTGCTTCAGTCAGGAGCATGCAATAATAGCTGGTCCCTAGGGAGCTAAAGATAAAATGAAGTAAAGAACAGTTTTTTAAAAAAGCCACATTCATCCATCCTGTGTTTGATCAATTCTCAGCAGTAACTTAACATGGAAGAACAGTTGTTACCTATACTTCAGCCTTCCCATTGAACAGAGTGACATTTTAATCATGTGCTGTATCACTGAGTTACTGTATTTTATCCCAATTTCACAAAAAGGGTTTTACCGGGAAGTTAAAGTGGAGCACCATTCAGCACATATCACTTTTATGCAGCTACATTACTTATTAAACAATTAATCATCTCCTATAGAGTTCATTTTTTCCCACTTTTTTGCTTTTTTTGTACTCGATATTCAATTAAAATTAGAGATAAATTTCAGGGTTGGTGCCAATGCTCTGGGGTTTGACTAATGACTGAAACTTTGTGGTATGAAATGTCATTGATGACTTCAGAATCAATACGTCACTTAGATGATGTTGCTTTCTAGATCTTAATCTAGTCAGGCGGCAAGTCTCTCTCTTTTCTGATAACGATTAACATAGCTTTGGCTCCCAGGGAAACTAAATCTGACCACCACCTGTGGCTCATGCACTGATCTGCAGCAGTTAAAATCTCTCTGTCATTAAGGGACGGGGTTGGGTGGGAGAATAATGGGAAAGGTTAAATTAAGATTTAAACCTATTTGCCTTCCACAGCGAGGACAAAGAATTCAGTGATTTATGAAGCAAATACAGAATAGACTGGAGAAAGCTGGCTTCCTTTCTGAGTTACTGTGTGATACATCCCATGAGTTACTGCAAGTTGTCACAGTTAGATTCCACACTGGAATTCAAGACAATGAAATCATGTAAAGCATCTTGGTTTAATCACCAACATTTCTGTTTTTCTCCTGGACCCCTGAATCATTATGGGATTTTACTTGGAATTTGAAATGGACCTAAACCAAATCTGAACACCCACAAACTTTGGGAAAGTTCAAGTCTAGATTTTAGCTTTACGGCTTGGGCTCATCTCTAATTGGGAAAATATCTACACATCAGAGGGGATCCAGTTTTCCCCTTCCTCCCAAAACTTCAGGCAACCTGCAGTACAATACAAGTCTATCAAATTTTCTGGTTAGTCTTCTTCTGGATGTAATATACCTTGTAGGTTTCTGGGCTAATGTGCTTTGCAAGTCCACTGACTTGCCAGATCTCCCATTTATTAGGCTGGCTTCTTACAAAGTTGGTCAAACCTCCTGTGTTTTTAAAATATTGTTATTAAGTGGAACTCCAGTAATGCTGGCTCTGTAATGCTAGCAGGCTGCAGGGAATTGTAAGATAGATTGCCTAGCCATACTCTTTCTAGACCCAAGCAGAACATGAATGTTAGCTGTGGTAACCTGCAGTATTTTTTCCTCCTCAACACTAGCTTTGTTTTTTAATCAACTCTCAATCCTGGTTGCTTCTGCTGAATTAATGCACTAGGCACTGTCTGCTCCTTTGTGGTAGCTACACACAACCTAAGGATGTTTCACCTCCTGTCCATCAGTCCCTGCCCGTTCTGTATCCTCATCTTGTGCTCCCTTGTTTATGTATGGCTTTCTTCCTGGCTCTCAAAGTGTCAGCTTCACACTATCTTCCTTCTAATACAGCTCAGCAGTAACCGAAGTAGCTGCCTTTGTAATAGCTGAAGCTGCTATAAATGCTTCATGCCCCAATGGGGTCTTAACAGTTTGTAAGCTATTTACAGTCCATTATAATGAAATAACTAAAAACAGGGTAGGGAGTAATCTCTAAACAGTGCTCTCTTGTCTCCTTTTCTGCTTTCATTGGGAGGATTGATCAGAGGGAGGCTAATATGTCTTCTAAGTTCTAATCCATGCATATGTGATATCAGACATAATACATGCACCAGCCATTGTTAAAGCTGGACAAACATGCCGAAGAAAACCAGGACTGGGCTGAATGTCTGCCCAGTAAATTCTTTGGGGGTTCAAAAAAGTTTGGTAAAACTTAAAAGATTTATTGTTTTTAAATGTCACGTCTCTGTACTTCCTCATTTTGACCAGAAGAGGAAGTGGAAGTACCATCATAAAAGATGCCATTCCTGCAATATTTTCAAGGTGGTTTACATTGAAAGGTACTTGTGAATCTCACTGGGGAGCTTGTTTCCATGGGATTCGAGACCAAACAGACTCAGGGCTTGTCTATACTTACAGACCTGAAGCTGCGCTGCTGTAGCACTTAGTGAAGATGCTACCTATGCCTATGGGAGAGCTTCTCCCGGTGGTGTAGGTACTTCACCTCCTCAAGAGGCGGTATCTGGTTAATAGGAGAAGCCCTCCCATTGACACAGCACTGTCTACACTGGGAGTTAGGTCGGTATAACTACATAGCTCACGGGTGTGGATTTTCCACACGCCGGAGTGATATAGTTATACCGACAAGTTTGTAGTACCAACCGGGCCTCAGGGAAGCTTTGAAGATAAATGTCTCAAATCTAGGTAACTTATCTCTTATCTGATCCTCCAAATCTTTAATGACATCCTACTTCATGGTCTAAATAATACATAGGTTCAATGAATAGGGCCTTATTTTTAAAGGATCCTCTGTCCAGCCACTAATTTTGCATCTGCAATTTTGTGTCCAGCAAAATCAGTTGTGGATTGCAAAACAAGGGTAAGATTAACAGCAACAAGAGTGCTGCACATCTGATTTGTGGGCCCAGGCTGAGACTGTCAGAGAAGACTAAAGAGAGAAGGTGGGTAAGGTAATATCTCTTATTGAACCAATTTCTGTTGGTAAGAGAGACAAGCTTTCAAGCTTACACAGTTCTTCTTCAGACTTCTCTAATATCCTGGGACCAACACGGCTACAGAAACGCTGCCTAAAAGAAGACTAAAGGAGTCAGGTGCTGTGGTGATTTGGAGAATCTATCTGTACAACTTATGAATTCTGATTGATGTTCTGAAGTTGTTCTTATGAAAATTGTTGTATCATGGAATGCCTCTATGTCTATATGTATCCACCATTGCTGACAAGCCTGTAATCATGGCTCTTCCTGACAAGATACAATGGACAGTAGTTACTCTTAATGACTGTACTATGGCTAGTCAACAGGTGTGCTAAGGAGGTTGGCTGGAGCTCGGAAGAAACCAGGTGTTGATGGTGGGATATATAAACTGTGAGAAGCAGAGTGCCACCCAGGAAGCTTTGGACAGGAGGAGAGGAGAAGTATATGATTTTGTAGGCAATGAGGGGGTGTTTTAGCTGTGGGTTCAACCAAGGTCAAAGCAATTGACGCAGAGAGAGAGAGAGACTCCATGATTGAGATGATAAGTCATGCGTTGCAACAGAAGGCCAGAGAACTCTGACCGCAGCCCAAAGAACACTCTAGAGTAGTGAGGAAATGAAGGAAAGGAAATGTGTGTAGGTTTTTTTAGTATAAATCTATGAATTACTCATGTGATTAAAGGGTAATGGTGATCCTGTGCAAAGTGTCTGTGCTTTGTACATGTTCTAGCAATGATTTTCCCTTTAAGCATTAACGTGTGGCCACGGAACACCCACACAACTGAAGTTCTAGGAGAGGATGCATTTAAGCTATGGAAGAGTCTGAAGGGCCAGCACTAGTCCCAGGGTCTAAGCAGTTGAACCGTGAGGTCTCAGCTCCCGGGAGGAGTGCTAGACAGAGGATCTAACCCTGAGAATCTGCATAGGAATCCCAAACAAGAAGCAGTACCTGGACATGGTTCAGACAGAAGGGGCTTAAAGCACCTGCGGCCCAGTGTGGTGGAGCCCTTCACAGCAGGCTGAGTGGCCAAGAGGGGCACTCAACAAGATCTGTGACAGGTGCCCAACTCTCATTGACTTAGGTGCCTGACTCCCTTAGGGTCTTTTGAAAATCCCAGCCCCAATAAGGTCTAATGTCTGTCATTTCCAGATCTATTCAGAAAATGATCCTCCCCCATGGAAAATTTCAACAACAACAACAAAACATTTTGTTTTCATGAATCTTTTCACCAGAAACTTTTGAGTTTTCATTGAAGAAATGAAAACCAAATATTTTTGGTACTGAAAACTCAAAATTTTCAGCCAAAAACAATTTAAAATAATTTTGGTGGGGGTGTTCAGTTTTCTGAATGTAGACACTTTACATTAATATTTTAGGTTATTCTACAAACTACAACCATAGTTTCTATCACAAAAGTTTTGATGGAAAATTTTCAACCAGCCCTAACTATTTGCCCCACCAAATGAGCATGCAACACTGCAGGCACAAAATTGGAGACCATTTAAAAAAAAGCCCCAGTATATGTCATAGAGGATGACATAGTGGGATGGAAGATTAGGAGACTGGCATTTCAAAAGAAGTGGATCGCATACAACAATGGAAACCCATTTCAATTCAAACACTTTTACTGTAGTTGAAATGAATAGCTACTTACTCAGGGAAAAGAATGGTGCATTATTTATTCTCCAGTATGGTGCCACTGCCTCTGCAATGAAAACCTCCAATCAAAATTGACAGGGGGAGCAGGACCTGTGGGATGGGCTCAACCAGAAGAGCATCATATTCATTACAAAGGCAGACAGTAAGATACCACCTTCCCAGTGAAAAAAGCTGCTGAGAATCCCCTGCCTTTATTAATGGGGCCCATGAGTCAATCTGCAGCGGTGATGTATCATACTCATTTAGGGAAATGATGTGCTGGGAAAATGCATTATTTTAAAAAGCAAGAGAGTGGATTAAAACAAGTATGTGCCATAAGGAAGCTCAACTCTCTCATGATATATGCTGATTTTCGGGTGTTCCCCATTTGCATGGCTGTTTAAGCAAGCACTTTAAATGGAAATGCACTTGACATTTCTGCAACTAGCTATAATCAAACAGCATTAGACTTCAGCTGATCTCACAGAAGATGATTAAACAAATTTCTTGTTCATTCCTAATTGTTTTTAATGGGATTATGGAGGAAGAAGACATGTTGATGAAAATGATCCCCAGATAGAAAATGGTGTCTTAAAATGAGCTTGGAGGGGAATATATATATATAAAAAATTGGAGTGTGTCTCTTTGAACAGCACCAAGCACACTGTCAGCGCTCAATAAATTACCATACCAGTGTGTGGCTAAATCCCAGCACTTTACACTGAAAAAGTGCCTGCCTGTCATAGGTGCATGCTGTCCCCTGCAGTTTTCACATGTTGCACAGTAACTGGATTCTTGAATATATATATATATATGCAACTAGCTGTAATATGTATCTATCTATCTATCTCCAATTTTGAAAAGAGCTTCACCCCAGCTTTTCATACGTGCTAAGGCCGGATGGGACCATTATGATCACTGCCCTCCTGCATATTATCTGGAACTTCCCTCAAAATAATTCCTAGAGCATATCTTTGTAGAAAAACATCCAGTCTTGAGTTTTCATGTTAGTAGATACAATTTTTCACCCACAATTAATTGTACATGCAATCACAGTTCACAGCATATAGACCACAGTACATCGGATTGCACAAAACTGTCTGTCTTCAGGTTTTATACTACTGCACATCCTCATGATATCTGAGTACCACATGAACTCCACAAGCAATAGTAAAATCCCTAGTGGGCTTGATGGAGTTTCTGGATTGTCTTCTTGAATCGGTAAAAATCTTTGCTTGGGTAGGGTGATGTTCTTGTTTATTTGGCTTTTTTGTTTGTCCGTTTTTTTGCTATGCTGAAGAGGTTTTGTTAAAGAGGAAAGTTTTGAAGTTCTTTCTAAAGACAGTCAGACTCTGGATTCACCTAATCTCTTATGGGAATTCTTTCCACAGCCAGATCCTTTCAGCTGACTACACTCTGTCCACAGCTCTCAAGAGCTATACTGTGGGCTTTGTGATCTGCATGAGCCCAGAGAAGTGCAGATACCTTGGCAGCTCATAGATTGAAATTCAATCTTCAGTGTAGCTGGGGCTTGATCCATAAATTGCTTTAAAGATGAGGACCATGGCCTTATACTGACAACTGATGAGGATGGGGAACCACTGAAGGGATTGGAGTATGGGCTAGATGTGCTAACAACAGCCTAAGCCAGGCAGAAAGCATTAGCTGCATTTTATAACACCTATCACCCTGGTACGTGAGCACTAGATGAAACTAAGAGGCACAAAAGCTAGAATAAAAGCTCTTTTCTTCTCTGGTTCCATTGGGGCTTCAATTTTTTATTTAAGAGTGTTATTTCAGGGGAAGGCTGTATTGAAAACTGGTGTGTTGCATCTTCATTAGACTTGGCCTCCTCCTGATCCCTGCTGATGCAGAGCTTCCCAGTTGGGTCTACTGCCAAAACTGCTCTGCCCCCAGAGCCTGATAGTGAGAACCTGGTTTGTTCAGCTGCATTGTCCCTATGGAACATAGGTGGCTTGGGAAGTAATAGTGGTCTCTAAGGTAACTAGGTCCCAACTTATTAAACACCTTCTTGAACATCAACATTTTGAAATCTGCTGTGAAGCAAATGAGGAGCCAGTTCAGTTTGCAAAGCCGAGGGGTGATACAGCCACCACTGTTTAAGTAGCTTTGTAGCTGTGCATAATGCAAGTCAAGGAATTCAGAGGTAAGACTGAAATCACCCTCCTCCCCAGATATTTCATCAAATTCTCTCTGTTCAAAGACCACTTCCAATAACTGGGCTGGATGATTCCAGGGTAGCCTGGAATTCCAACCCTAATTGTGAATTTCCTGGAGTCCAACAGTTGCCTCTGTTTTGTAATAACATAAGGTGTTTTTTCTATGTTTAATTTCCTTGTTTCTGTTTTTTAAAGATAAAGGAGTATTTGATGGGAAATGATAAAATGTGTGTTATTCACCTCAGCCACCAGAACAGCTCCAGAAATGTTATTCTGTTCTCTCAGGATGGATCTGTTATAGCAATTATAACATGCATTCCAGGAACTCTATGCATTTAGCAAACATTCACTAATTCTATCTATCCATCTCTCTCTCCCTCCCACAGGAACTGGTTTCTTGCAGGCAGACCCTCACATCTGCACAAAGTCCCACTGAAGTCAGTGGAGCTTGGTCCAGCCACACGATTGCAGGAGTGGGGCGATACATATCTGACGGCATAAATAAGCATTATAACTCCCTGGTGAGGTAGGTACTTAATATCTTATTATTGTCCATTTTACAGGTGGGTAAACCAAGGTGCAGAAAGTTCAAGTGACTAGCCCCAGCTCACACAGTAGGTCGTCAGCAGAGCCAGGAACAGAACTTGTGATCCTGACTGCCATATTGATGCTCTATCTATTAAACAACACTGCCACGTTCTGTGTATATACATGCAGTACTGCACACAGTATGCTTTCTATTTAGCAAAGCTAGTTCGATGTATTAATGATGTATTAAGTTAGTCTGATGATGAGGAAGAAGATATGTTGATGAAAATGGTGTCTTAAAATGAAGTTGGAGGGGAATGTCTACACACACACACACACAGTTGCTGTGCTACATGTAAAAACTGCAGGAGCCAGCATGCTCCATGCTCAGTGGGTCATATTCTATCCTCACATCTTGGCAACCTGAAGCTGAACAGGTGCTTACTACTGCTGAATGGAGGTCAATTAAGGTAGAAGGTGGCCCTGGGTGATTATTGATAAACATGCTACATTCCCAAAAGGCTAGAGTCGAGTTCATCAGGTAATTACATGGTTGGGCAATTTTTCAAATTCTTCTATTGGAGCTGTTCTGGCCTGGGATGTGGTTAGACAATATGGTGTGTGTGATATCAAAAATAATATTGATAGAAAAAAGATGCAGAATGTGTTACTAATCTTGAGTAGTTTGATTTGTGGATGCATGGGGAAGGAGAGGTTAAAGGGAGCTGTTAGGGAAAGTGATCAGGATTATGTATGAATGACTTGCCCAATTTACATTTTAAATCCAATCTACTTGGATTATTTGTATCTATACATTGATCAAGTTTCATTCCTTTTGTTGCAGGTGCCATGTATGTAAAATTAAAGCATAATCTTCTATCACTTTAGCTAAAGAAAAACTCCATCAATAAGGAGCAATGGTAGGCTCTCATCCTCTTTGTGGACCGGCCACTGAAGTTCTTTAGTCAAACATAATTCATTATGCTTAATACAGGAATGAGTGAGTAAAATTCTATGGCCACTGAGGTACAGGAAGTCCGACTAGATGATGATCTGATGGTCACTTCTGGCTTTAAAAATCTATGAATCACATTCAGCCAAACACCACCATACATAACATGAGTAATTACATGATCTCCTTGATGCAATCATTGTCCTTCCCTTCACTACTGTTTCCTACCCTCTCTAATGGCGTCACATTAGGCTGTAAGGTCTTCCAGGCAGTGGCTGTTTGGTTTGTACAGTGCCTAGTACACTTTTGGGCACTGTAAAATTAACAATAATAGTAATGATATAGAGGAAAATGCCACCTTTCTGGCTTTCTCCGTCCAGGGAGCTGACTACTTCAGACTACACATTGGGGAAAGAGAGGGAAGCAAATGCACCAGAGTTCAAAATGCCTGTTGCACACCTGTACCCATATGGACAACTTGGCAAAGGCATATAAATCTGATGGATCAATGGCCAGCTATGTTGTGCTCCTTTATATGGTATAATGGTCAGTAAAATCAATGATTGATTCTGTATGGAAATTTCTCAGAAGTGTAAGGTCATTGTGGATGATAAAACACATCCAATAATCTGAGGGGACTTGGTAGGTCAGGGGGTTTGGGCCAGTGTCTCAGCTGGTATAAGTCAGTCTAGCTCCAATGAGTTACAGTAATTTACACCAGCTGAGGATCTGGCCCTATATATATGTAGCCTTTTACCTTTAGGTCTCCGATTCAGACCCTGCCCAGATTGGTAGTAACATCTTTCAGTCACTATCAGCTATTTAATGTGTTACATGGAATGAACTGGACTCCACTGGGCATTGGTTTGCTGTCTTAACTGAGAGGTCAAGGGCTGAATGGGCACAGAGACTGAACTAGAAAGTTTGCTCCTCTAGGTGGTAGTTGTAGCCCCTTGGTGTGACAATACGGGGAAGTGTGCTCTGCTGCTGACTGTGATTCTTCTTATGTGGGAAAACAGAGGACTTTGGTCTTTAGGGGTGTCATTCTGGCCCTATTCCAAGCACTAGAATTCACTTTCTAAAAGATGAGAAGTGACTTGGAGTGTCAAGATGGCTGTTAATTACATTCCTGTGATGGGGGTCACTCGATAGAGCGGCTGGCTGTGTCAGCAAAGCCATAAGTCCTCTGTCAACTGGTACCGTCCCACACCATCCGAGGAGCCCAAACAATGGCTGTTTACAGAAGTGTTGAACTTGCAAAAAACTTACCCAGAATATTAGTGTTTGCCAACAAATCTGTCTTGTTTTAGTAATTTAGTAACAGCTGCTGTCTTCATTATCACTTCTCTTATTGCGAGGCTTTCTCGGAGTGGTACTGCATAACAACTTGCTGCACAGTGCTGAAAAATATCTATGCAAAGCAGAGCTCTGGATAGCAGTGGTGTATGTCAGTTTTAAAAAAGAAATAGCACTTTAATTAAAGCAGACTTATGAAGATTGCAATACATAACAAGTATCTAGTAAAGGCATATTTCCCATTCAGAATAAATCACTGTACTATTGCCAGTGTTTGAAAAATCCTGATAGAGGGTGCTGGTGCTTTACTTTAACGTTTAAAAAATGGGTCAGCTTCACTTGCCTTTGTTTTCAAATCTCACCAGGTTTTTTTCTGTTGATAATAAACCCTTAGGAAAAAAGCTGGATTTTTCCCTTGTTTTGTAATGAATCCGGTGTTAGGACCAAATCCGGTGTAATAACTTAGAAGGGAAAAAGATAATGTTGTGTGATAGATGGTTTGTGCTTTGAAGGATCTAGGTTACAATTCAGTGTAAAATGAGATGACCTGTAAATGCCATAGCCTGTGACACAAGGTAAGTGGCGGGTTGGGCAAAGGAATGAGAAGACAGGTAATTCAGAGCATATGAAGACAGACACTGAAATGGATTTAGTTGGCCTCTGTTTTGGAAGACAGAAATTAGCAGCAATAGATCCCTGCAGAGAGGCTTAGCCCAAAGTTGTGCCAATGGGAGAGAAAATCAGTACAGATGATTAGGTAAGACAATATTGTGCCTGTCAGTCACTAGCCCATCCTGGGGGTGGTACAGAGCTTCATGCCCCCAAAAGAGCCCCTGGAGGAGTTTGCTGCAGGGATGCACCATCCCTTAGAACAGGGTAGTGTGTTCCCCCTTGTGTATCTTGGCTACTGCAATGGGTGAGTGAGACCATAGCCCTGTTTCCTCCCAGCACTTGCCAGAGGGGGAGGGGAGGAAAAGAGGAAGGGAGAGGGAAGGGGAAGGGGAGGGGCACTGAAGAGCACTAGCAGAGGTCTATTTGTGTGGTCATGGAAGTTCAGGGACTACAACTGTGCTGGGCCCATCTGTGGGATCTGCAAAGGCAGGAAAGCCCCTTGTGCCCTCCCCTTATGCACCATCATAAGTGTAAGCCACACACTGGCCCTAAATGGAGACTGGCCCTAAATATGAGCAGGGGTCAGATGGAGGTACTATTGCCACACACTTTTGTATATGGAAATTCAATTTCTAAGCTGACCTAAGTTTTATCATCATTTTGAACATTTCTTTTTTCCTCTGCCACCCTCTATACATATTTTCTCATGACAAAATAACCAATCCCCTCGACTTTGCAGGAAGGAAAGCCAGGAGTTTATGAGAGACATAAAAGTAGTTATTACACTGCGTTGTTAAACACTCCAACAAAATACAAACCATACAGTTTTTGTGGGGACTAGCCCAAGACTGTGTAGTGAACTCCTACAGGACCTAAGCACAGTCTCAAACCTCACCCCCGTCTGCTGTAAATGCAAGGGGGAATTTCTCACATTTTGCCTTCTGTAACATAAACATACAACAATGTGTGTATAGAAATGCATGTGTATGTATGTATATGTGTGTGTATATATATATAAAAATTCCAAAACAAAACTCTGCATTGTACCCATTTTTCCCCCTGGGGAGAAGATGAAAAAACAAACAACAGATGTTAGTCATAGTGGCTCAATACACTACTGGAAAGTGCTACCGTGGTGATAATGAGCATGGTGTAAGAACCGGAATACACCAGAATAGAAAATCAGCCAGTGTTCCTATTCCTGTTAGTCCTGTATGATGGCTTGGGGTGCAGTCTGGAACAGTGAGGGGTTGTGTCACCACTTGCCCTGCAACCCTAAGTGTTTTTCTGCTGTAGCTGCCAGCTTAAAACACTCACAGCCAGTCTACAAGCATTCACGTCACACGCTGTATTGTCTCTGTGCTAGACAGCCCTGGTTCGCAGCTCTGACCCTAGCGACCTGTCTACAGCCCCACATCAGCTTCCACCAGCCTTGGTTACAACCAGCAAGGTGACCCCAACACACTCCCAGTCCCGAATATTCCCAAAATGGTAGTCTGTAATGACCTGAAAAGTTCAGAGAAATAATAGGATTTATTTGTTGTTCTATGGACAAAACTCACCTGCTTATTAACTTAACTGGGGTAAATACACCCTTCCCTTTAAACACAGCACTGAGTTGGTTTCTCATAAAAATAAAACAACTTTATTCACAATAGGACACAGGTCAAGGGATTCCAAATAAAAGGAATAAAGTTAAAGGATTACAAGCAAATAAAAGTGAAAACATGCATCTACAAGTCTAAAACTTAATCTAGAAAGATTCAGGCTTGGTTCAAGATGGTTTCTCACCTATATTCAGTTTCCAGAGACTTCAATCCCCTCTTGGTTGAAAAACGAATTTTTCCTCAGTTTGCAAGAGCACTGTTCCCTTTTGTTGGTCTAGTGATGGATGCCAAAGATGGCTTCTCTCTTTGCTTATATCTTCCAAAGTTCAGTGACTTTGTCTCAAGAGGCTGTTCTTCTCCCTGTATACAAATGGAGTTTCCATTCTTTTGATTCCACCATGCTTAATTTATGTAGGAGAAGGTAAATAGCTGCCTTCTCTCCTGTCAGGGAGGGAACCTGTTTCTTCCTTTTTTGCCACAGACTCTAAAACATAATATCATTAAATATCCATATTTCCTCCTATAATGTTA